GTCACTGTTTTTCGTTAATAATTCGTAAACAAAGCCGTGAATTGTATTTTCGCTAAGGAAGAAGTTAATTCAAATAACCTTAGGAATTCATTTCCGGTTTGCGAGACATTCTTGGGACACCCTGTATACATACTACTGTGATCAAAAAGTAAGGTGAAATTGTCATTTAAAACTCCCGGACATTAGGAAGGCAGGCAATTGTTTTTTTCCTAGGTTGGTAGGACTGTCTATAACAATTGCCAAGCGTCTGTTTGTTAAAAGGTTTAATTATCTCCGAGTTACACGTGTTTTAGTAAACGACCAAAAGTGAATTTTTCGATTTTTACAATGGGTGATTTTGTTGAGCAAAGAACTTGCATCAAATTTTGTTTGCGGAACGAATATTCTCGTGCGGACACGTTGAAAATGTTGCGGAAGGCCTTTGGTGATCAAACTATGGCACAAAAAAACGTTTATAAGTGGTACAACGAGTTCAAAGCGGGCCGAGAACGCGTTGAAGAAGAACCGCGCTCGGGACGACCATCAACGTCTACCGACGAGGGCCACGTCCAATAAATCGAAGATTTGGTGCTTGAAAATCGTCGATTGACAATAAGAGACCTCGCTGATAGTGTTGGAATATCATTTGGTTCAGCCCAAACCATTTTGAAGGATGTTTTGTGTCTCAAACGCGTCAAGTCTCGATTGGTGCCATGTCATACTGCATTGGTTCTTCGCGATTTTTTTGCCAAAAACTCGACTCATATCGTTCCGCAACCACCGTATTCGTCTGATTTGGCTCCGTGCGACTTCTGGTTATTCAGCAAACTCAAAAAGCCAATGCTAGGACGCTGTTTTGACACGACTGAGGAGATAAAAACCGAATCGAAGAAGGTCTTGAAGGCTATACCCGAAAAAGACTATTCCGACTGTTTCGAGGACTGGAAAAAGCGTCGGAAACAGTGCGTTTTATCGGACGGGGATTACTTTGAAGGGGATGAAATTGATTTGGAAGAGTAAATAAAGAATTTACATTTTATAAACAAATTCACCTTACTTTTTGATCACAGTAGTACTTTGAAAGTATTGGTAAATTATATGAGTAAATGTGGCTTGTGTCTTTCGGGGGATGAAAGCAGCACCATTATTGAATACTTTACTAAGAAATTCTCAATTAATGATCCTTACTTTTTGAGAAACTGTAAAATAATGCCTGTTGAAAGTTATACTAAGAGAAGTTATAGTCAGCTCAATCTTTCAACTAGAAAGAAAGATCGCAAAGAAATACTGAATCGACACGGCGTGACAAATTACAATCCTATTTAAACGAACTAAGGAATAGCAATGTCTGCCTGCAATATGACAGCTATTTGCCCCACCACAATGCTCAGCTATCGGAAAAATGATTCAAGCTGCCTTTGTACCAGCAGCATTTTTATTAAAGAGACCGCCCTTTCGAAGAGACCTCGTATAATATTAAAAACACGGCGGGTAACGTACACGGATCCTTGTTTGTTCATGCGTCCCAGCCTGCAATTTTGTTTAAAGAAAAACCCCTGGCATATAAAACCATCGAAACAACGCAGAAACGTTCGTTCACCTGTTTCTCTCGCAATAAAATAATTTCAGATTTAAAAGCGTGTTGGCCGCATGAAAACTACACGCGTAATTAACGCGGTACACTTCGAAAATGTTAACGAGAAATTGAAAAGGGATAGTTGCGCATAAAAAAAAACATTAATACGAAACTAGAATAACATTTTTTCGTTCCCAGGGGTATCGATCGCGAGAATTTATACGTCGCTCGAATTTTTTTCGATCGCCGAAACGAATTACGAACAAATTTCATTCGAAATTCTCTGCTCATTTTTTTCACGCTGCTCCCCCCTCCCCCGTTTCAAGTTGCACCACTTCGGAAATACTGTATATACTCTGTGAAAGCTCTTTTCTGTTCAGGATCAGTTTTCCAATAGTTCCGCGTGCTCTACCGTGTAGGGTCGACAAATATTTCCAGTAAGAATGCAATATATTCGACTGCTCGTGGGCAACAAGCTTTCGAAAAATATCGAATGGATCGGAGATACAGGAATAACTTTGATCACCTTTCATATACACGTTATTTCCAACGATTTCGAAAAGCCGTTCAGATGATGGCCAGAGTCATAACGTGACTGTAATAAATGGCTAAAAATTATTCTTCGTAATTAATTTATTTAATAGAATTTATTTAATAGAACGAAGCAATTTTTGTTTCTTGCATGTCTTCATTTACTATTATTTCCAGATTTTAATAATAGAAAAATAAAATTTCATTTCGATTGAAGAGAAACGAATAATAATAATAATAATTTGGTGGCTTGTTATAGTGCAAGGAATTAGCGTATCTAATGAATTTCATTTCAAGGTCTTTCCGTTAATAATGACAAAATTAACCAATAAATTTCATCGCGTAGTATAAATGTTCGAAGTCTTTGCTTCACGTCTTGTTCATTCTGAATTATTCGTCGTTTAAGTTTTTCCGGATAAGGCAAGGACAATGAATACATCGACAGAATTTAAGAATATTTTTACATTATTTTCAATTTATTAAAGCTATTAAAAGAAGAAAAACATTTTTATTTGATGCCTGTTTTATACAATTGAAATTCTCTAACTCGATTGCAACAAACAGGAGTGAAATAAACATTTATTTTCGTTCATGGCATTCTTAGAAGGTTGTAAACAATGCAACAGCGTTAATAAAGTCCTCTGTATTTATTGTTTTGTATTCCACCAATTCACTTTTGTCTTAAATTCCGCAGTCTACTCGTGATATAGGATGCATACTCTTACAACGAAGACAAGGATACTGCGTGCTCATAAATATTATTACATAATTTTGACACATGTGCATTCCGATGAGCGATCCTTCGGATAATACACATTTCGACATATTCTTCTCTATATCTTAAAGGCATCTTCCGTGTTTTCGATATTTTTAAGAATAACAAAGATATTCGAGGTGATCAGAGTCACCGCTGCACCCTTCGAATATATTTAAAGAAAATTTCCCGTGGCGCGAGTGCGAACAGCATTCCATTTCACGGATATACGTACGTATTTAGCAGTATTGGATAATGAGATCCGGTGTTGTCATCCCAGGGGATTATAGGTAATGCATTGCCGCCGGCAATGTCCGCGCATCCGCCCCGGTGAAGAATTAGTCAACATTTTTGCGGATTTCTAATTTAATTTAAATCCTGTACATCACCATTTAGGAGCGATGGGGAAAATGGAGAGAGAGAGAGAGAGAGAGAGAGAGAGAGAGAGAGAGAACGAGAGCACCGCGATAGGAATGTCGGGCGAAAATCCTCTCAGTGGATAATTATTCAAATGGAGCGGACTTGAAAAATTATGAGAAACAAATTCCTTCTGAAAGAAGACACCGAGACTAATATACACAGAGTCATAGAATGGCGCGCCCGGAAAGATTTTTCAAGAGGAAAAGTTCTCTTCTTTGCTTAACCTCCTTAACTTTTATAGAGCGGCTTCTCAAACTTTCATACTGCGATAACTTCCACATTCTCCTCGTATACCGTGCAATTACTTTGCCGGTGTATATGTATATGTATATATAAAGAGATATTGTATCCGCGTATGTATATCATGTGTATGCACGGGGAGAAGGAGTTCCCGATGTTATCAGTGAAAATTGATTTGGGTGGTAGGAGAAAGCGTCCACGGGAGAAGTTATTCTGCTCGAAGAGGCAAATATTGTGAACGACATAAACTCTTTTTTAGATTTTTACTTTACGTCGGCGACGTTCAAATGCCACCGCAGTATCTTCGTCGAACCCGATTTGCCTCGCGAAATGCTAGAACGAGATGACGGATAATATTAACAAAACTAATTCGAGCGAATTGCTGCGCGAATTTCATTCACTGTCGACGATTGCTCTATTTTTGAATACGTGAATCTCGCAATTCTATTCTGGACGTTCTTTGGAGAATTCATTAGATTCATTATCTGAAGTATTGACATTATTTTCATGAAAATTTTGTGGAGACATGGAAACCTATTTTTAATACATTGTTTGTTATGTACTATATTTTATTGGAATCAAAGAATTATTTATATAAATGTTGCAGTGCTATCTTCGGAATATCTTCTTCGCTGTAATAATTATTTAATATCATTATAGTAATTGTTACAATGATAGGAAACAAAACTACGTTTTTTTTCGTATTTTACAAATTCTTTTCGTATCGAAATTTTTACTTCCGAGAACTATCAAGTCATTCTCATCAGAACATATAATCTGAGACTATTTTCCAGAGAATTCCTAGTTTCACCCGTTACAGTAAATTCTTTCCAATTGCCCTTCAGCTTATAAACAGAAATGGACAGTTTGTGAAAAAAAGATACAATTATTCGAGTTTCGTGTCTCGTTTTTTACAGTCACCGACTGTCAACAATTATAAAAGCGAGCCGCGGGGCTCAAATAATCGTATCTCGTCTTCCCAAATTGTTCATTTTTGTTTACAAACTGACGGACAATTGCAGCGAATTTACTGTAAACGGTTTCACAATGGTATTTGATGGAACAGTAAGAATCGCGTAGGTTTCAGTATAAATATTAATTGACGACTGTTGCATCATAGCACGTTCACGACGCAATTAAATATAATTATATTCATTTCCGAGGCAATTAAAACAAAACGATACCACTGTGAAAAACCTTGAGAGGCATTATTATTCTGCGATACAATAAATTATTCTCAACAGTTGCTTATCGTATAGCGAACACGGTTTTCGAGTTTCCCACTTACGTCGGCCGACGATTAAAGGGTTCGCGTATCTATTTGCCTCTTGGAGCCAAACAACCCCTTTACTTCGCGGAATTAACCGAAATGACAGAGGTGGGCGGTAGCGGCAACGTTAGGCGAGTAGCGCTGTGTAGTAACACTTTTATGCTATTAATTTCCCAGTTCCACGCAACTACGGATTCGATAATGACACGCGAATTGCTGGTATCACTTACCACCACGTTGTTCAGGGTGAATGAGAGATGAGCCGGTGGTGTGGAGGGCGGTAAGCTACAATTTGCCCTCAAAATGTCTCCCGGGTCGTAACGTTCACGTTCCGATGCGATAGTAGGTAAACCTCCGGGTAGATCTGCAACATAATAATTCCGTAATCGTCTCTTATACTCATCGCCGGGGCGAATCAGTTGCTCGTTACAGCCTCAAACGGTTTTGGGATACTAAACGGCACAGAGGATCTCGTGCCGTCCTCGTCTCGATGAGACTAATGCTACATCCAAAGACTGATACCGGTACTTTTCGGTTGTACCTTCGTAACCTTTATAGAAGCCGAAATACCGATCAGATGTCATACCGGTTTATGAAAATACCGGTAGAACAAAAGAAGACCGCGGCGACGCTGCCATTGTCACGTAAAACGGTGGTCAAGAATATAAAAAAAGGTAGTTGAGCCGTAGCCCAACTTACTACTTGCTTTTATTTCAAATAATTACACACAGATTACAATGGCACTTGGTAAGGTATCCGGCGGGTTCGGTAGTTAAAATCAAGACTGTTCTTTGGGCGAAGTACAGCGGCTTATATACACGTATTTATCTTATCATAGCGGATGTTATGGTTTATAAATGAAATGAGAACTACTGAATCGTGTTATGGGAATTGGGCCCGTTACACCATCATCGGTGGCGCTGTTACGGTACGATCGATTATTGTAACATTGTAATAGAACCTGGGGCACATATTGGTAAATATTTTGGTCCGGAATGGACGCCACATATCGGTATACATGTATTTCAATATTTTTACCGAGATGGACGTCACTTACCGGTAATAAAACCGCGATTTCTCAAGTACAGCGGTTTAATACTTCAGGACTTATACCGGTATTTTTTGGTTTCGGTATTAACCCTTAGCGGACGAGAGGCGACTCTCGGTCGCCTCGGCGTTTCGAGCGGCAAGACGAATGGCGAGCGAGAGGCGACAATCGATGTTTATGTTAGATTTCGTTATCTCCAACATTATCCAACCTACTGTTTTATGTGAAAATCCCTGAAGTGGTGGCGCAAATTATTTTTCCGGGGACTGGAAATTTGTTTAATCGATTCGTACATTCTCTACAAACGTGTAAAAAGACAGAGAAACGAACAGCCAGTTACACATTTGAACTTTCGCAAAATTTTGATCAACAAATTGAGAGGAGATTTTTGTCAACCACGAGATAGATCTTCAAGTTCGACATCCAACTCTGACGAAATTCGTCTAAACGGGAAACTGCATGTAATTGTTACTGGCACAAAGAAAGATTGTAAAGTTTGTTCCAATCGAAACAAACCAGGGCGAAGACATGAGACGACTTATTTCTTTGATACATGTCTAGATAAATCAAGAATACATCTTGGTCATTCACACCGAATGAAACTACAAATCATAATTTTTGTAAAATTATATTCATAAAAATGTGAATATAGATAAACTAACGAAATATAACGTTTTTGTAAGATAGTTTATATGTAAGATCATTTTATTTTACCATATAAAACACTCGACATATTTGCAAAAATCGCCTCGTCCTGCTACCTGACTCGGCCGAAAAAGTCGTCGTCCGCTAAGGGTTAAACGGTATGCGGAAATATCGATATAATTTCACACATTTATCTATATTATTTTCGATTTCCTTATTTTCCTTATTTGAATATAGTAATTTATCCCTAATTCGCGCTCAGATTGCGCACAAAAATGGAGATACGATTATTCGAGCCTTGCGTCTCGTTCTTATAGTTGTTGATAATCTGTAACTATAAAAACGAGCCGCAGTGCAAAAATAATCGTATTTCCTCGTCTCGAATTGTCCATTTTTGTACGCAATCTGAGCGCGAATTAGGGAGAAATTACTGTATTAAAGGAGGCCGTGAATGTAAATAATGTGTTGTTTATTTCATTTCACAGTCAAGCTACACACATTTGGTCTTGAGGGTTCATACACAAATGAAGGCGTGAGTTTCTTGAAATCGCGATCTGCCCTCACCCCGCAAATGACTCGCGCATCTCTGTTGCTATTAATGCCACATGGCGGTGACGAGGAGCGCGGGGAGAGAGGGGTGATGTCCGTCGCTTATCACGTGGCGCGTCACTTTTTTGGAGCTAACAATGAACGATTATTAAATGCTACAATAGTTTCATGTTTCAAGGGGAAAATAATACTTTTCATTTGGATGATCGTCTCCAGACACCTACAATAATAAAGAATAATTTGTAGAAATTTCTAAAAATTTCTGCGATAGAGAATCTTTAAAAATATTAGGTTGGGGAAAAAGAAATCCATTATTTTTTCGATAGATGGCTATAGTGATCGATATCTCGTAATGTATCGATCAAACAATTTTAGATTTATGCTCGTTGGAAAGGTGACATTTCGCACTAAAAAAATCCTTTTGCAGTGTTTTGTTTGGTCCATTCAGTGTGTGAGTTACAGGGTGTTAAATATGGAAGTCAACAAAGAGAAAATTCGGTACATTTTATAGTTTTTCTTTGATAAAGGCAAAAATGCAAGCCAGGCCGCTGAAATTGTGAATGGTGTTTATGGTGCCAATACTGTAACAGCTAATCACGTGCAATTTTGGTTTCGTCGATTCCGTTCAGGCATTTTTGATTTTAAAGATGCCCCTCGCACAGGCGGGCCCGTCGTCGAAAATATCGATAAAATCACAGAAATAATCGAAGTTGACCGGCATGTTAGTAGTCGTAGCATCGCCCAGGAGCTAAAGATCGACTATAAAACAGTTTTAAACCATTTGCGCAAAGCTGGATACAAAAAGAAGCTCGATGTTTGGGTGCCACACCAATTAACACCAAAAAACATGATGGATCGAATTTCCATCTGCGTAGCCTTGGCCAAACGGAATGAAATCGACCCATTTCTTAAACGGATGGTGACTGGGGATGAGAAATGGGTCACATACGACAATATTGTGCGAAAACGATCATGGTCAAAGTGTGGTGAACCAGCTCAAACGGTGGCCAAACCAGGACTAACGGCCAGGGAAGTTTTACTGTGTATTTGATGGGACTTGAAAGGAATCATTTATTATGAGTTGCTTCCGTATGGCCAAACACTAAATTCAGATCTCCACTGTCAACAACTGGACCGTTTGAAGCTAGCGATTGACCAGAAACGGCCAAAATTGGCCAACAGAAGAGGTGTTGTGTGAAACACCGGGAGCTTCGTTGGGAAGTTTTAATGCATCCACCATATAGTCCGGACCTGGCACCAAGCGATTACGACCTTTTTCTCGCATTGCAAAACTTCCTGAGTGATAAGAAATTGGGATCAAAAGAAGATTGTGAAAATCGATTACTAGAGTTTTTCGCCAATAAGGACCAAGACTTCTATGAGAGAGGCATTATGAAGCTACCTTTAAAATGGCAACAAATTATACAACAAAACGGTGCATATTTGACCCAAATCGGACAATCCGAAACATCTTAAATAAAGTCTTGAATTTCACGCAAAAATAATGGATTTCTTTTTCCCCAACCTAATATAATATCTTTACGAAAATTGTCAGATCTGTTTTCTTCATTCGCGAAAATATTTGTCCCCTTAGATGGGGAAAGATTGGTTTCGTTTGATGACGTACAATTACTGTAATTTCTGTAAATGAAGTTCAAATTGTGAGTACAAGTTTGGTATCGAAATGAAACGAACCATTGTTTCATAAAACAGAACGGCGAGAATTTGCAAGGCTTCATTGTTCTCGGTATACTGGAACATGTAACGCAAGGTTTGGCAATTAATATGGCAGCATTTACTTTAATATTTACGAATCTCGTTTTACATAAAGTAAAGTAAGATTCTGGACCTATTAAATTATGGCGTATTACGATATAAGGACCGATTACAGCTATCGCGAAGAACGATGAATTTGTGAAGCAGGATTAATGTTCTTTCATCTAATAATTGTTCTTGCTTGTGCAAGCATGGCAACGATAATAGCTGCATTGTATACCGAATCGTGTGTACGGAATCCCGTTGGATAAAGCTGAATCCACAATGGAACTACAATGGGTGTACAAAGTATTCGTATACCTTTTAAAATGGAATAACTATTTTATAATTGGGATTTATATTTGCGACATGTTTGTTTGAGATGTTAAACGAATTAGTTTACTAAGCAATGGCTAAAATATTGTTTTAGAAAATTGCGATTGGTTGATCCACATAATGCATTTTCCAAATTTTTCGTTATAAGCTCAGCTAAAAAAGAGTTGGGAAAACATCATTTTTTAATTCTTTTATCATGCCAACCAATCGCAATTTTTGGAAACAATATTTTAGCCATTGTTTAGTAAACTAATTCGTCTAACATCTCAAACAAAAGATCGCAATTATAAATCCAAATTATTATAAATTACAAAAAAATTATTCCGTTTTAAAAGGTATACGAATACTTTTACTTAAGTTTCTGTAAGTTCCTTCTTTATTTGAATTTTCTACTATCTGAACATATGAAAATGTGTTCAATTCAAAATGATTCGATACAAGATAATTTATTGCTCACATCAGTAAAGATATAGTCGAGCATTGTAATTAAGTATTCCATTACCCGAACACGTATGTATGTACTTTCGATTAGTTCGGACAATCAAGATTTTACTGTATATTGTAAAATGAGCGAACAATTTAACGTCAGACCGAGCAATAACATTTCTGTTCCGTTAGCCCCAGAAATGTTTTTGGAGTGGAATCGAAGGCGGAGAGAATATTAGATCGATTGATCTGAAACAAACGAGGCCGGTTCTTAGTTCAACCGCATGCATTCCATTCTCCATTACGTATATTGGACTTTCGACCGCGGTCGACAAATCTTTCGGGACAATCGGAATAATGATACAAACTAGGTCAGAGTATTGTTACAAAATATTAACGACAGATTTCGTACACGCATTAGAGTAATAATACAAACGACGCCGATCCGATTCGCAGTCGCAGCGAAACTGTTGTTCTTCCGAGCGTAACTTCAATTGCTTCCCTAATTACACCGCTAATCTTTTTATCTTCTCCGAGACTGAAGTCCTGGCGCATGCAAAATGCAACTGCAGAGAATCGCTAATGACTGGAGATTCGTAAAAATA